GCAGGTAAGCACCACAGAAAGCACCACAGTTGTGTGGGTGGATAGCCCTTTAGCTGGAAGGATGTGAAGTCTAGCAGGGCATTAAGTTGCTCCCCAGCTCATAACTCCCCTGGAGTGAGAAGAAAGAGACCTGGCTCTCTTGTTTGTTAAAGACATTGGACCAAATTCATTCCTGGTGAAATACCATTAAACCCATGAATCTGGCTCTTCTCCTCTTTCCAAAAGGGCACCAGTAACTTAATTCTACTTGTCCTCAATTTAAAAAAAAATAGTGAAGTCACCAGTCCAATAAAATGGCCATCCAAAGAACAGATGAATTCACAAGCCATGGGCAGAAGCCTCAGAATTTGTTGAACCCACAACTCAGTTAGAAATATCCCCTATAACACCCAGATCTGAAGTTTACATCTCAACCTCTTTCCTTATTGGAAAGAGAGGATCAATATCCGGGGTTAAAAAAGAAAAGGGGGAGATAGAAGGGAATAAATCACTAGTGCCGTCTTTAGTCTATGTCTGTTCTTGCATTGTTGAATGAAGACTAGGACATTTGACTTTACCATGAGAACCCACCAGATACTATACAATGATTGCAATGATTACAATGATTGCAATGTTTTATATCATAGGAGCAGTTTTAGGTTTTGCACCTATGCTGTTTCACAACTAAGTTATTGCTCATTTTGACTGCTCCACCTTTTGTGCAAACTTATATTTGTTCACACGGGTCAGATAATTAGGTGCTTATATTTTCAGCGGATGCATTTGAAAACTCAGCTAGTGGGTTCAAATTCCATCCTTGGATATGTGTTTCTGGCAGTGAGAGACAGGCACATGCAATTAAGGGCAGAATATGTTTCTGGGAATGCAGTGTTGTAGCAGACCTACAGCCTATTAGGACTACTTCCTTTCCTTCCTGTACACTTGCTGTATTCAAAAGCAAAGCTTTTGGAAACAGTGCCAGAGAAGGAAACTAATTAGTGCTGTAGAGGGAGGTATAGTAGTGTCATGGATTAACTAATTAAGAGACAGAAAACAAAGGCCAAGAATAAATGGTCATTCTCTGTGGCTTAGTCTTCACTTATAATTGGGTATAGAATACATACATTAATCACCTCCCTAGCATGGGTATAAAGAGCAGTGTAGGCAGTGAGGTATTGGTTAGGTGAGTAAAGACATACCAGGAGCTTAGGATATATACCCTACCCGTCTCTCAGCACCCTCAAGCAATGCCTCCCACAGTTATGTTTCTATTTTTAGCAGTGTTGGCAAGGTCTTTCCCTGATGCCTCCATCCTACGAGAGCCTTTCACTGCCAGTTGTAGCTACACACCATTGGGTGGATGCAGACTAATTTTCATAGAATCCTAGAAATGCAGGGCTGGAATGGACCTTGAAAAGTCATTACGTCCACCCACTCCTCTGAAGCAGGACCAAGTAAACCTAGACCATCCCCTTAACAGATGTTTGTCCAACCTGTTCTTAAAAATCTCCAGTAATGTAGATTCCACAACCCCACTTGGAAACCTGTTCCAGTCCTAAACGCCCCTTAGGGTATGTCTAGACTACATGCCTCCGTCGACGGAGGCATGTAGATTAGACAGATCGGCAGAGGGAAATGAAGCCGTGATTGAAATAATCGCGGCTTCATTTAAATTTAAATGGCTGCCCCGCTCTGCCGATCAGCTGTTTGTCGGCAGATCGGGGCAGTCTGGACGCGCCGCGTCGACAAAGAAGCCTTTCTTGATCGGCACAGGTATGCCTCATGAAACCAGGTTTACCTGTGCCGATCAAGAAAGGCTTCTTTGTCGACGCGGCGCGTCCAGACTGCCCCGATCTGCTGACAAACAGCTGATCGGCAGAGCGGGGCAGCCATTTAAATTTAAATGAAGCTGCGATTATTTTAATCGCGGCTTCATTTCCCTCTGCCGATCTGTCTAATCTACATGCCTCCATCGACGGAGGCATGTAGTCTAGACACACCCTTACAGTGAGAGGGTAATCTCCCTTGCTGCAGATTAAGCTGCTTATTTCTTGTCCTGTCTTCAGTGAACATGGAGAACAATTGATCTCAGTCCTTTTTATAACAACCTTTAACAGATTTAAAGACTGTTATCAAGGCCTCCCTCAGTCTTCTTTTCTCACAACTAAACATGCCCAGTTTTCTTCCACCTTTGCTCCTAGGTCAGGTTTTCCAAGCCTTCTGTCATTTATGTTGCCCTCCTCTGGACTCGTTCTACTTTATCCACATCTGTTCTAAAAGGTGGTGCCCAGAAGTGGCCACAGTGCTTCAGGTGAGGCCTCACCTGTGTCAAGTAGAGTGGGGATAATTACCTCCCATGTCTTACTTACAACACTCCTGTTAATACATTCCAGGATGTTATTAACCTTTTCTGATACTAAATCGTATTGTTGACTCTCAATTTATAATCCACTGTAACCCCAGTATTGTTTTCAGAAATACTACTGCCTACCCAGTTAGTCTCCATTTTGTAGCTGTGCATTTGATTTTTCCTTCCTAAGTGAAGAATTTTGCCCTTGTCTTTATTAAATTTCATCTTGTTGGTTTCAGATCAATTCTCCAAATGGCCACAGTCATTTTGAATTCTAATCCCATCCTCCAAAGCACTTGCAACCCTTCCCAGCTTGATGTCATCGGTAGATTTTATAAACATACTCTCCACTCCATTATCCAAGTCATTAATGAAAATATTGACAAGTAGCACACCCAGGACCGACCTGTGGAACCCCACTAGATACACCCTTCCAATCTGACTGCAAACTATTGATAGCTTCTCTTTGAGTACCACTTTTCAACCAGTTGTACACTCACCCTATAGCAATTTCATCTAGACTCGAAGAGAATATCATGTTGGACAATGACAAAAGCCTTACTACGACCAAGATATATCACATTTTCACTGTGATGTGTAGCTTCATATGCTGCCACCCAGGTACACACCACAAATAGATCACCTCCAGGTTCCATACTAGGACCATTGTTGTGTAATATGTTTGTAATTACACATGCACAACATCTACACTGAAAGAACATTATTAAGGTTGCAAAGTCAAGCTCTGTATATTAGGAAATGGCCGAATTAAGGTTGTTTGAACTTACTTGGGTCCTCTTGTGCGTACCATTATGATACAGTCTTTACATGAGCACGAATAAGCTTTTCCATGGGCTCCTATGCTCCAAGCCCGAGTTTCCCTCCTCAGTCCCCTCATCCAGTCTCCATTCCCCACAATCCAGATACTTTCGCCTGTCTCCCTCTCCCTCTTTCCTTGTCCCAGTCCTTTTGCCCAGCCAGCCCTCATTCATCCCCTGCAGTGAGCTGACCTCCTCCCATATCCCAGTCTTCCCAGCTACTACTCCCAGTCTTTCCGCACAACTTCCATCTTCCTCTCCTCTCAGCTTGCATCCCCCATCTCTTTGCCCATCCATTCCTAGTTTCTCTCCTCGCCTTCAGTCCCAGCTCACCAGACTTTTTATCCCAATATATGCCTTTTCCTCCCCTCTGATCTGATTCCTTGTGCATTCAAATCAATTTCCTCCTCCATGCTGTATAGGTGTAAGCAGGGAGATCACTGAGAGCACACGATAGACAGGCTCCCTGCTCTCAGCCCAGCCCGAAGGGGCTGGGAGCAGCAGTCACCTAGAGGTCATGTCTAGCGGAACTAGAGCCCTGCAGCTGGCCCATGCCAGCCAACTCTGGCTCACAGGGTTTGGGCTGAGGGGCTATGTCACTTGGCACTTGGGCTGTGGGGCTGTTTAGATTTCAAGGATCAGGCTGGAGCCTGGGCTCTGGGACCCTGCGGGATGAGAGGGACCCGGAGCCCGCGCTGCAGTCCAAACCCAGAAGTTTACACAGCTAAGAAATAGCCCTACAGTGCAAAACCATCAGCTGGCACAGACCATTTTCTTTGCTGTATAGAAGTGTCCATAGTAATCAACTTCACACACACACACACACCCCACATAGTCCTGAGTTGGAACATGCTTAATTGCTCTGTTTGGTTGGTGCTGAACATTCTGTTCAGCACTAGGTGGTGAAGGGATGGAGCATCATAACTGAGGATGAAATCTTTGACATTCTAGCTGCTAAAAGTCAAAGTAATGGCTGACAAGCGTGTGCAAAGACTTATAAGTTGGCCAATTGGGGCAGATTTTTCCAGGGACACCAAAAAACACATCTTTGATGAAGGCCCCTCCCAAATTGCAAGTTCCTTCCCCCAAGACCTGGACTGATACTAGAACTTTTCAAAGAAAAGGGCACCAGAATTTTCTTTAAATGGGTAGAACAGCAGATTTTTCCCTAGCCTTGGTCTCAGACAGAGCTGAACTGTTTGAAGCAAAAAAATTTTCAATTAATTCTACCTGAACCAAATACATAGCATGGAAAGTATCAGCCCAGATGGCTAAGTTTGCCCTAGTTTTATAAGCAACTGAAAACAAGGTCTGATGAAGAGATAGGGATGTGAAATCCCATTTAATATATTAACTGGTTAAACTATATTTTTAATCAATTAGCCCGCCCGTGGCATGGCCCGGTGGGGCTGGTCAGGCTGCTCAGGCTGAGTCAAGTAGAGCCTGGTGAAATGCAACATGCCACAGGCTACTACAGCTGATTGGGTGCTGGTTAACTGGTTTCCCCAGTAAGCAGGCTGATAAGGCAATGCTTATGGGTAACCAGTTACCCCTTTACATTCATATAATGGGACATAGCTGGCCACCTTACCAATACTCATCATGACCAGCTCCACCTATAATGATCTGGTAATAGGATGAATAATGAGATGGAAAAAATTGCAGTAAATACATTATGAGAGTTAGTCAAGACTAGAGAAGACAGGGAGTAACTTCATAAGATTTTGGGGTATGTCTACACTACCACCCTAGTTCAAACTAGGGTGGCTAATGTAGTCATTCAAACTTGCAAATGAAGCCCGGGATTTAAATATCCCGGGCTTTATTTGCATGTTCCCGGGCGCCGCCATTTTTAAATGCCCCGTAGTTCGAACTACCTGCCCGCGGCTACACGCGGCACGGGCTAGGTAGTTCAAATTAAAGCTCCTAATTTGAACTACCATTACTCCTCCTGCAAAGAGAAGTAACAGTAGTTCGAATTAGGAGCTTTAATTCGAACTACCTAGCCCGTGCCGCGTGTAGCCGCGGGCAGGTAGTTCGAACTACGGGGCATTTAAAAATGGCGGCGCCTGGGAGCATGCAAATAAAGCCCGGGATATTTCAATCCCGGGCTTCATTTGCAAGTTCGAATGACTACATCAGCCATCCTAGTTCAAACTAGGGTGGTAGTGTAGACATACTCTTAATAAAGATAAGTGAATGGGCAACATTATTTCAGACAGAATTCAGAATTGCCAAATGCAAGGTAATGCACATTGAAAAGAATCATTTGAACTACTCATATAGATTGCTAGATTCTGAATTATTAACTGCAATTACTCGGGAGCAAGACTTGGCATCACTGTGGACAGTTTAATGAAACATCAGTGAACTATTCAACAGGAGTCAAAAAAATAAACAAGATGTTAGGAAAGTCTGGGGTAGGAAATAATGTTGCAAATGCAATTATGCCATCATTGAAATCAGTAATGCCCCCTCTCCTGGAAGACCATGTTCAGTGCTGCTCACCCCCATTCAAAAGAGAGAGAGCAAAAATAGAAGGTGTTCAGAGAGAGAAGACAGAAATTATGGGATGTTTGGGAATACTTTCTTGTGAAGACGGATTGTAGAGATTGAGACTGTTTACTTTAGAGAGGCAGGGAGTTGACGGGATTGCAGGGCCCCTGGGCAATTTGGGGGGTGATGCCACACTCCCGAAAGGGGCACCGCCTGATTGGCACAGCACCCTCTCCTTGCCCTGCCAGCCCTCAGGGCCATCCAGAGCGCACTGTGCGGGGCTCTGCAACATGCTGCGCAGGGCTCCCATGGCAATTCTAAAGGGCCCGGCACTCCAGCCGCCGCCACTGTCACAGTAGCAGATGCAGTGGCCCTGGGCCCTTGAGAATCGCTATGCCCCATGGCAATTGCCCCCTTTTCCTCCCCTCCCCCCTGGAGGCAGGCCTATAGAGAGGGGACATGCTAAAGGTGAATACAATAATGATTGGTCTACAAAAAGTAAACTGGGCACACCTGTTTACACTTTCTCTTTATACAGAGTGGGAAACCTAAGGCCCAGGGGCCGGATGTGGCCCGTGGCTTGTCTGGATCCAGCCCCTGAGGCTCAAGCCCCACCCACGGCACTGGGGAGCCTGTGCTGGCACTCCAGCCCCCCACGCCCCATGGGGCCTGGAGCACACAAAATCTACTAGGATGGGGCCCCTGAGGCTCTCGTGTACAAGGGGAATGTGGGGAGTGTCTTTGTCCTTCTCTATTGGGGGCCACATCAGTGAGGGGTTTGTTGGGGCTATTTCTGGTTTTGTTTTGTTTTTGTTTGTTTTGCTGCTCACTTGCGTGCGACCCCCAACTGATTTTTCTATGAGTCAGCGGCTCCTGTCCCCAAAAAGGCTCCCCACCCCTGTCTTTATACAAGAACAAGGGCACATTGAAACTGAAATTTCAAACTGACAAAGAAGGAAATGCTGTTTTTAGCCAACATAGAGTTTACCTGTGGAATTCACAAGGTGTTATTGGAACAAAGAGGTAAGTAAGGTTAAAAATGATTGGCTGCTTATATGTCTCCATGGGCACTTTAGACAGGAATTTTAAAAAATTAGAAATATAAACCCTCCTGCTTCATAGCATAAGCAACCATTAACATCTGGCACCCCCACGTTAGCAAAGCATTTGAACATATCCCTAAGTCCATCCCGGGTCAGCAAAGCACTTCAATGCATGTGAAAGTGTTTTGTTGAACTGGGACCAGAGTTAAAAAGAACCTTCCTGTTAGAACAAGTTCTTTCATAATTGCCTATTATGTCAAGTTCCTGTGAAGCTTCTGGTATTGACAATTGTCAGGGACAGAGAGCATATAGACTGTTTGTTTGGTCGAATATGACAATTCTTATGAAAATTCTTACAGTAAAGAGCTAGTCCTTTTCAAAGGGGGTTGAAACCCTATATATCCAAACAGCCCATTCCTCACAGCGCTTCTGGGATGCTTGTGTTTCAGCATTATGGTCAGAGCTGTCTCTTCAAAGAAGCCATGAATATCCTCAACATGCTCTTCACCGGTCTCTTCACTGTCGAGATGATTCTAAAGCTCATCGCCTTCAAACCCAAGGTAGGTGTAGACTGGGAATTTCTCTTCCAGTGTGTGGTGGGAGCGAGAAGAAAATATGTAAGAACCCTACCTGATCCTCCAAAGTACCACCCTGTAGCTGAACTGGGCAGTTACTCTCTGGATTGGAGTCTCAATCTGTGTTTGAAAGACCTTTCCTCATGGAGAGAGTAGACACATGTAAAAAGAGCAGTGCCTTTTCAGAGAGAAAGCTCCTGCTCCTTTGTTCTGATGAAGTGGTGGTAGTTACTCTACAGTTAAACTTACAGGGTGATTTCCAAAAACATCTCCTTATTAGTCTCCAGGTCACTTGCTATTTTATTTAAAAGAAAATAGAATTTCATCAAGCATGATTCATTCTGAGTTACAGCACTTCGACATTTTTCTTCAGATTTTGGAAAAAATATTCTAATTGGTCTACTCGTGCCAATTATCAATCTGCTCATAGTTCAAATTGGCTGGTAAACTGGGCCTGTGCACTAGTGCTTTGTGAGGATTACAGCACAGGACTGGTTTGGATACTGTTAGTTCTGAATTTAATAATGTATTGTTAATGTTGGAAACCCCATCAGTTCCTGTCTACAGGGATTATGATGTTTCCAGGAGCTCCACATTCTGCTAACATAACTATACAGAAGGAAAGTTGTAGTTTACAAGCTCTTCCAGCTAACCCAACACAGCTCCCAAATTAACTGAGGCCTTCATCATTTTAGTGTGGCTTCTGCTACATTTCATGAGCTCTCAATATGGCATTAACAAAGGTGACAGTCTCCACCATATGCAACCACCAAGCTTCTTTAGTCTACTGAAAGTTAAAGCATCACCCTTCTTCAGCCTGCCATCCTTTCATCCTCCTTCCACTCACCAGCCCAGTAACTTTCTCCTCACACTCCACTCAAACCAATACCTTTGTCCATCATCATTTGTAAGTTGGCCTTTCTCTCTCCCACTACAGCACTTCTACCCTATCTCCCACCTTTTTCTATAAGGTCTTTTAAAAGGTAGAGGATCAAGCAAAGTCACTGTCTCTGTTCTCAGCCAGCCCAGAATCTCTCTCCCTTCTCCCATAATTCACTTATATGCAGCACTGCTGAAGATCACAAGCTTCATGAGTTATATGGGAAATCTTCGTACTTCTGTATGGTTTCAAATATGATACTTGTGAAAATTGCCTGTACCTCCATCTGTACCAGTAGAATTTATAATTTCCAACAGGCAGTTTAGGCTTACAAATTTGAGATGTTAGCATATATGCTGCTGTGGAAATTATTCTAAGTCCGACACTTTATAAAAACCTTATATGCATATTATGTGTAGAAACATACCTCATGGATTTAGTGCCATTCTTCTGCTTAGATCCTTATACTCTTTGAGCTTTGCTCTGAGCTCTGATCAAGGAGTTTAAAAATAACCAAGAAGATTTCTAAATTAAAAACTTCTCTTGGCTTAATTAATCTAACACTCTTTAACACAGACTCAGACATCAGGGTGTTAATAGAAAGTCTTGAAAGCCACCACATTCTCAGTTAATGTCCCAGCACCAGCCATAACTCTGCCCCATCTTTGAAGAACAGCCAAGAATGCACCATATTAAAGAGAGAAACTAAAAACATGTGCCAAAAATAGCCCCAACACTTAATTTACTTTTAGAGGAGGTCAGACTAGATGATAACAGTGGTCCCTTCTGGTCTTGAAATCTATGAACTGATACCTTGCGGGGAGACAGTAAAACAGGGCATTTGCCTCCCAAAATAATCAGGATGAGGAGAAAGAACCAGTTGAAATTGCTAATACAACTAAAAGCCTGCCTTAAGCAGAATATTAATGCTGATTTATGTTCTGTACCAGTGCAGTGACTCTGTAATTATTGGAACATCAGATGCATTCTGCAATGTAACTCCCAGTTGCCCTCCTTTTTATCACAAAGATGTGACCTGCAAGCCTGTGGAGGTACCATCATGCACTATTCCATCTTGATTCAAACTGCATGGCAAAGAAGGGTGCCAGCAACTTGTAGAAGGCCTCTTGAATCAAGTTGGATTGCTCCATGATGGGACTGGTAGTTACTATATCTGTGTGCCACGTGATACAGCTATAATGTTCTACTCTATTTTATCTGTGTAAATTGGATGCAGACTTCTAGCTCAGAGAAAGAGAGTAATGCAGTACTCAGGACCTCAGCTAGGCACCCACTACCATGAATGATATAAAAAATGAACTACAAATGGGCAGTTATCCATAAGGGGGTTTTCTGAACAATCTCAGAAATGAAGAGCTTTAAGAGGCAGTCACCCGCCTCTCCCACTGAAACATCCCAAAATTCTCCAGCAAAAGCTAAATATGGGATTGTAAGTTCCATTACCTTTTCCCAGGTATGAATAACTCACTTAAATGCTTACAGGGTCTCTGTTGTAGGTAGAATCGGCTGTCATTTCCAGAGCAGTAAAGCCCAAACACATCTTTGAATAAACTGCCCGTTTGTTTCAGTTTGAGGGGCTCCTGAAAGCGAAGGAGCAGTTACTTCTTCATGACTGACTGTAGAGGAGCAGGCAACATAGATGGGGACCTGAAGGTATGATGCAGGAAAGAGAGGACAGTAGCAAAGAATTGAATGTGAGAGAAGCGGCAGCAGGCCTGTTACAGAACTAAAGCTAGGGAGTTTACTCTAGGGAGCACTCCACATTCTACAGCTGCTGGTATTTCTGAATCCAGCAAGAGGCACTGTGTATGTAACTACTACTGGGTGGATGTTGGGATGTTGTCACATTCCTACTCCTCTCCCAGCCATTCCCTAACACAGTGATGGGCAACCTAGGCTAGTGAGTGGGCCTCATGAGTGGCCCTCCTCCATCTCAGTGGGCCACAAGATTGTCACAACCAGGATAGTCTCCCAGGATAGAGTAGTTTTGCTCGCTGCACTTACGTGTCTAGAATCTGCAGGGTTTGTGATTGAACCATAGCAGCGCTTTGATTGGCTGCAGAGGGGGTGCATAGTCCATGTTGTGTGCAATTAGCATGCACCTCACTTCTTGTGCCCCTGCTTTATGTGCCTATCACTTTAGTCATAGAAGTAGGGAAAACTACACAGGAGGAAACCAACCGAATCTGGCAATCCTGCATGTGGCCAACGGTAAACAAAATGTCTTCCAGGCCACACATAGCACCCCAATGGGCCGCATGTAGCCCTTAGTCTCCTCTTTTCTAAGATGAAAAGTCCATGTATTTTTAATCTCTCTTCATATGGGACCCTGTACAGGATCTTTTGAAAAGGGGTTTTTGTTTTTTTTTTGAAAGAACCGTGTCTAGACAGCGGCTTCACTTTTGAAATACCCTTTTTTGAAAGAACGCTGTGTCACGATTATGCAGATGAAGCATGGGATATTTAAATTCTTCGTTTCATTTGCACTTTCAATCTGCCTCATTTAAATCCCTCTTTCAAAAGAGGGATGTAGTTTAGACATAGCTACAGAGACCTGGCTGGGATAATCCACAGGATTGGAATATGGGTATAGTAGGGTCCCTATCTATGTTGCCTGCTCCTCTACAGTCAGTCATGAAGGAGTAACTGCTCCTTCATTTTCAGGAGCCCCTCAGACTGAAAAAAACTGGCAGTTTATTCGAAGACTTGTTTGGGCTTTACTTGCTCAGGAAGGATAGTCAGGGAAAACAGGGAGGAGGTGTTGCCTTGTATAATAAAAAATGTATACACTTGGACTGAGATTGAGATGGACGTAGGAGACAGACTTGTTGAGAGCCTCTGGGTTAGGTTAAAAGGAGTAAACAAAAAAAGGGTGTGTCATGATAGGGATCTACTACAGACCGCCCACCCAGGCTGAAGAGGTGCATGAGTCTTTTTTATAAACAAAAAAACCATCCAAAGCGCAGGACTTGGTGGTGATGGGGGATTTCAACTATCCAGACATATGTCGGAAAACCAACACAGCAGGACACAGATTATCCAATAAGTTTTTGGACAGCATTGGAGACAAGGCCCATTGCTCAGTGAAGAGGGAGAAACAATAACAGGAAACCTGAAAATGGTAGAGGTGCTTAATGACTTCTTTATTTTGTTTTTTGTCAAGAAGATTGATGGTTACCGGATGCCTAATATAGTGAGTGGTAGTGGAAATGGAACAAGTCAAAAATACTTAGAAAAGTTAAATGTCTGCAAGTCACCGGGGCCTGATGAAATGCATCCTAGAATACTCAAGGAGCTGATAGAGGAGGTATCTGAGCCTTTAGCTATCATCTTTGGGAAATCATGGAAGACAGGAGAGATTCCAGAAGACTGGAAAAGGGCAAATGCAGTGCCCATCTATAAAAAGGAAAATAAGAACAACCCAGGAAACTACAGTCCAGTCAGTTTAACTTCTGTGCCAGGAAAGATAATGGAGCTAGTAATTAAGGAATTCATCCACAAACATCTGGAAGAAAATAAGGTGATAGGAAACAGCCAGCATGGATTTGTAAAGAACAAATCATGTCAAGCCAATCTGATAACTTCCTTTGATAGAATAACAAGTCTTGTGTATAAGGGAGAAGTGGTGGAAGTGGTATATCTAGACTTCAGTAAAGCATTTGATATGGTCTTGCATGACCTTCTTATCAATAAACTAGGCAAATACAACCTAGATAGGGCTACTGCAAGGTGGGTGCATAACTGGCTGGATAACCATTCTCAGAGAGTTGTTATTAATGGCTCAGAGGCATGCTGGGAGGGTATAACAAATAGGGTTCTGAAGGGGTCTGTTTTGGGACCGGTTCTGTTCAATATCTTCATCAACTATTTAGATAGTGGCATAGAGAGTACACTTATTAAGTTTGCAGATGATACCAACCTGGGAGGGGTCACAACTGCTTTGGAGGATAGAGTCATAATTCAAAATGATCTGGACAAACTGGAGAACTGGTCTAAGGTAAATAGGATGAAGTTTAATAAGGACAAATGCAAAGTACTCCACTTAGGAAGGACCAATCCATTTCACACATACAGAATGGGAAGC